ATAACTGTTAAATTTAATCCATCATGGAATACAATTAATAAACGTGGTTGGTGTCAACAAGCAACAACTTATTTTCGTTGTTTGAAATCTCGTCTTGATAAATGTCCACAACAAGATGTACAAAATCAATTTCAACAACTTGAACATTATCTTCAATCACAAATAAATATTAATTGTCCAGGTGGTGTAGATGGATGTACACGTCATTCGCCTGATGCACGTTGTAAAATAGGTTTACTTCAATCAAATTCTAGTTTAACTATATTTTATCTTTCTGATTTTTTTCTTCAATCGGTATTACAAATACTACTACTCTTATTATTATTATTTTAAATAAAAACAATCGATTTATGATATTAGTTTCATTCGTGTAAAGAGACAACCAAAAAACGGATCCGATCAGGTCTAAACCGGAGATTTTTTCCATCAATACTTTGCACCTTTCGTGTACATGAACAAGTGAAGGATCAAAGTTTCACCTATTTATTCGCTACGCTCGGTAAAAAACTCAATGTACAGTTATATCTTGTTACTGTATGTCTCATCTAAGGAGCAAGGAGTCCACAAAAAAACGTGTATCTGGGCACAACAAAACATAAAACGTTGGACCTGGACCCTGACCGGCAACTCCCTACTAGGTACATCACAAACAAGTGTTATTGGGTTGATTCCACTAGAAATCACTTTCAGACACTTTGTGTGAGTAGAAATATTTCTTGAGGATCGATTTAATCAGTTATCGTCCTCTTCCTCCGATCAAACCATATAATACTTGAGTTAAATAAATTTAATTAATGAAAAAGACATCTTTATTAAATATAAGTTCATCACATGTTGCTGGAATACTAATAATTTTTAGTTACAAGTTTCGAAAATAAAATAAAATTGTCATGATCATTCATTGTTGATTTCAGGAACATTATAAGCATTAAAATTACTCAATGGTATAATATAATGAATTAATGGTCGTTTATAAATCTCTAAAAATGGATGAGCTTCTAGTTTATTTTTCTAGTAAAGAAAAAGAAAATGTCAATTTCATTTTTTCATTATTTTAATTAACAAAATTTACTTGAATATAATCTCCCAATCGATAAGGAACTCTCATAATTGCAATAAAAATCGATAAAAGATTCTTAAATGGGAATGTTGTATAAATTGATCGATTAGGTTGTGGAAGTTTAAAAATTTTATAATTATTTTTTTGCATTTGTTTTATTAATTCTCGATCGTTTATTTCATCAACAATAGCACCAACAGCAAATCGTCGTTTTTCAACTGATGTCTAATTTTAAAAGTGAACAAAAAAAAAACAACACATTCTTCTTACATATACCTTTAATTTATTACTTTAGGAGAATCATAATAGATGCCAAGTTTATCATGAGATGATGAATATTTATCAATATCTTTGAATATATCAC